CCCAAAATTACACTCTGCTGTTTTCCAACCCATCTCAGGCTATAATTTATTGTATTCTTTGGATCCTTTTTCTGATGGGGACCTTTAATGAAAATACCCTTCTTCTACGCAATGATATTCCGCACCATCAACTATTTGTTCATACCTCGCTGCATTACACTGCAGCCTGTATCCACTTGAATAAGTGGTTTACAATATGTTCTTTGTATCTCTCTCCTTCTCGGGCATTATCTATCCCAGATTTTGCGTTTCTTGTTTCATCCTTTCTGCCACCACTTCTGTTACTTGGCGATTTTAATGCCCACCATTTCCTCTGGGGGGGTCTCATTGTGACTCTCATGGCATTCAGTTAGAGGCTTTTCTCGCTTCTCACCCTCTCCATGTTTTAAATATGGGTACTCCCACCCATTTTGATCCTCGTACTCATACTCTCTCTTGCATCGATCTCTCGGTCTGCTCTTCCTCCACTGCACTAGACTTCGTCTGGTCTGTTCTACTGGACTTGCATACAGCAATCATTTTCCAATCATTCTTACTTCTTCATATTCACCACCTCTTCGTAGCCCTTGCTGGCAATTTGATCGAGCAAATTGGGACCTTTACTCGCAACTGCTTTTAGTGAGGTTCCTTCATCCTCCATTGATGAGCTTTTACACCTCAACATCAGTTTTAGCTGCAGCTTCTCATTCTATCCCCCAAACCTCAGGCAGGCATTCTCAGAAGTGTGTGCCATGGTGGTCTCCTGCTTGTGCTCGGCAGTATGTTTGAAACGTGCTGCGTGGGGCAGGTACTGGTACAATAGAACCACAGAGAGACTTCTTGATTTTAAACAGAAGCGAGCAGTTGCTCGCTGTGTCATCCGTAATGCTAAACGCACTTACCGGCGAGATTGTTTTCACCATCACCTTGGCTTCCTCTATGAGTGCAGTCTGGAAAAAAGTACGGAAACTGAGTGGTAAATACTCTACTGATCTGACTCCTGTTCTGCAGGTTGCTGGTGTTGATGTAGCAAACCCTCTTGACATTGCCATTGAAATTGGCAGTCATCTGGTCCGTATTTCTCGGGGGCTTCATCTGTGCCCCTCGTTTCTTTCCTCAAAGTCTGCCAGAGAGATAGCACACTTGGACTTTTCTTCTCTCATTGAAGAACCGTATAATGTGCCTTTTACACTTTAGGAACTGGAGGCAACACTCTCAGCTTGCCGATCATCGGCAGCTGGGCCTGACAACATTCATATTTGGATGTTACAACATTTACATCAATCAACCCTTGTAGTCCTCTTACACCTCTTCAATCTTATTTGGTCACAAGGAGTTCTTCCCCAGCAGTGGAAATCGGCCATTGTTCTCCCCTTCTGCAAACCGGGTACTACAGGACGTGATGCCTCCCACTATCGTCCCATTGCTCTTACCAGTACAGTTTGCAAAGTGATGGTAAATCGACATTTAATGTGGTATTTAGAGAGAGACAACAGTCTCTCCGCTAGTCAATATGGCTTTCGTAAGGGCCGTTCTACCGTAGACCCCTTACTACGCTTGGATACGTATGTTCATAATGCCTTTGCGAATAACCACTCAGTTATTGCCATATTTTTTTACCTTGAGAAGGCATATGATACAACTTGGAGGTATAATATTTTCGCCCAAGCCCACTCCTTTGGCCTCCGAGACAATCTACCATCCTTCCTTAAAAACTTTTTAACTGACAGACATTTCCGTGTTCGGGTTAATAATGTGCTCTCCCCGGACTTTGTCCAAGCTGAGGGTGTCCCCCAGGGGTGTGTTCTGGGCACAACACTTTCTCCTTGCTATAAATGATTTGGCCTCTAGTCTTCCATCTAGTATTTGGTCATCACTCTGTGTTGATGACTTCGCTATTGCGTGTGCAGGCACTGACTGTCACCTCATTACGTGTTCTCTCTAGCATGCGGTCGACCGTGTTTCCAATTAGGCCACCACGCATGGGTTTAAATTTTCCAGTACCAAAACTCGCCAAATTACTCTCGCTAGACGCTCTGTCATCTCCGATCATCCTTTGTACCTCTATGGCTCGCGTATCCCTGAACGTGATAGTCAGGTTTCTAGGCCGTCTTTGACCGTAGGTTATCCTGGAAACCTCACATTACCTCTCTGAAGGCAACTTGTCACAGCTGGCTGAACCTTCTTAAAACCCTTGCTCATATTTCATAGGGAGCTGATTGTCCAACTCTCCTTCACCTACATTCAGCCCTCATTTTATCGAAACTCGATTATGGTGATCAGATCTATTCGGCGGCCTCTCCTACTACTCTCTTGAGCCTTAATCCCATCCATCACCAGGGATTACGTTTGTGCCTTGGTTCTTTTCACTCTTTCCCTGTTGAGAGTCTCAATGCAGAAGCGAATATTCCATCCTTGTCCGATCGCCGTGATGCCCATTGCCTTCGCTACTATGTTCGCTCTTATGATTGCTGCAATCCTTCCATATATATAGAATAGTCACCAATGTTAGTAGACATTCTTTATTTGTTTGTCGCCCCTGTTTGCTCCTTCCCTTTTCTCTTCGCCTACATTCGCTCTTGTCTTCCCTTCAGTTACCACCTTTTTATGTTCATGTAGCATCTCACTTTTCCCTACCCCCCTGGGAAGCTCCAGCTGTTCGTGTCTGTTCTTTCTCACTCCCTTGCGTGAAAGTCCAACTGCCTATGGTAGCTTCCCGCTCTCTCTTTCTTGACCACTTCCGCTCTCATTCTCATGCCATCGCAGTGTACATAGATGGCTCTAAGTCTTCTGATGGCGTCGGATTCACAGCAGTGTTTCCGGACAGTGTCGTGCGAGGACATTTACTATCCTTGGCTAGCATTTTTGCAGCCAAATTGTATGCCATTCTTGCAGCACTTATCCATATTGCATCTATGCCTGTGTCATCATTTGTGGTTGTCTCACACTCCCTTAGTGCTCTACAGGCTATATGAAAATTTAATACACCTCACCCCCTAGTCCTCCGTATCCAACTTTGGCTACACCATATCTCTGCCAAGCATAAAGATATTGTTTTTCGTTGGGTCCCTGGTCATGCTGACGTACAGGGCAATGAACAGGCAGACACTGCTGTGCGGTCAGCAGTACATGACCTACCAGTTTCGTATAGAGGTGTTTCATTTATGGACTATTTTGCTGTAATAGCTACCCACCTTCACACCCATTGGCAACAACGTTGGTCTAATCTACTTGGTAACAAACTTTATTCTGTTAAACTGAGTATAGGTTACTGGCCGTCGTCCTGTCATCAGTGTCGAGGTTGGGAGACTACTCTCTCCCGTGTTCGCATTGGCTACACTCGTCTTACCCACAGGTATCTCGTGGAGAGGCACCCTGTTCCTCTCTGTGAAACGTGTCAGGTTCCAGTATCAGTTAGCCACATTCTATTACTGCCCTCTCTATCAACGAGCACGCAGAATTTACCTCCAACGTCGTCTCTGCTCTACTCCTCTCTCTTTACCTTCCCTTCTTGCTGATGGACCCTCCTTTAATCCTGACTCTCTCATTGACTTCTTGACAACAACTGACTTACTCCACAAACTCTGATGACGATACCTTTCGCACTCCCCTCAGTCTTTTCTACCTCAATCTCTTGCTATCCTCTACATCTGCACTATCCACTGCCCCGCTGTTCTCCGTAACCTACTAATTATCCCTCTCCCTTTTGCCACCTGATACCCCCGCTTCCTTCCTGCCCTGCAGCACTGTATAGCCCTTGTGGTTTAGCGCTTTTTTTTTTATTATTATAATAATAATCCCCTGAAGTGATTTAAGAGCTTTTTCCAAATTCTGCCTCCTATTCCCTATTCCCTCTTATTCCTCATTTTTATTTTTTTTTTTATATTGGTCACACTGGTTGAATCCACCCTTGAGAGAATACACTAAATGCTCGCTCACTTACTTTCTGTATTTTCTGAATTGTGGTACAATGCTGCCACTGAATAATACCATGAATAATACACACAAATACCCTGCTTCTGTGTTACTAATAGACCACTCAACTTCTCTCATTCATTGACAATGTTCTTAACGGCTTCCTAAGCGTTTACTAATGTTTTTTTTTTTAATTTTAACATAGTGGCTGTTTCCCACTGAGGCAGGGTGACCCAAAAAAGAAACACTTTTGCTATCGCTCACTCCATCACTGTCTTGCCAGAAGCCAGCAGACATTATGGCTAAGTTGCCCCTCCAAACTGCGGTATCCCCACCCCCTCCTTCAGAGTGCAGGCACTGTACTTCCCACCTCCAGAACTCGAGTCTGGCTAGCTAGTTTTTCTGAATCCCATCATAAATGTTACCTTTCTCACATTCCCACTGTACGTCATAAAAACCACTTGCCTCCACTCACTCCTATCTAACATACTCGCACATGCTTGTTGTATGTTAAAGTTCCTCATTTATGAGGGGGTTCCATTGATGCTGAAGGTCTCCTTATGTGAAGAATTAGATTATTATTATCATCAAAACTAAGTACTAAACCCACTAGTGTCATACAGCACTGTGCAAAGAATTAGAGCTACATTATCCTTGGATCAGATTCAATTAGCTCCCATTTCTCAGGTGTTGGATAACTTTTATGGATTCAGTATTTCAACACAAATATGATTTATTCTTTGTTTTTTAGTGTATTTTGTTTTATATTTTATGTCCTCATTAAGGCAAATTTATCAGTGTTCTTGTATCTAATGGTTCAGTTTTAATCCATGAAACTTATAAAATATGTATTTTTATTTCCACTCTATAGTTCCAAATTTCTAACAGTAGCACCAAGCCTACCAATGTTTTATGTGAACTACATTAATTTATTTCTTTACACTGTACAAATGAAGGTTAAAATACATACTTAACCTCCTTTGTTATGCAGTACACAAATACCCTGCATAGTTTTGACTGTGCATACTTAAGCATTTTAAGACTTTTTAATAATATGTGCAGTTTGCTTAGAGGTTCTTTCTGATTATTGCACGACTATTTTACAGCCTGAGAGAGCCAGCCGCTGACTGGCTCAATGCTGTGTATGCTGTAGTGTGAACCTGTGACTCGACGGACAATCCCTCAGCAGTCGGATGATAAAACTAATAACCTGCAGATGTTTACCACCCAGTAGAGTTATATAATCACCTCCAAGCAATTCTTTAACAAGAACTATAAGGTAGGATAAAATTCTTATTTAACACTACTATAAATGAGAAAATTGTGTAGTGCAAGGTTTAAGTGTTAGCAAGGAAACATAGCTGCCTTCTACTTAAATGAACTATATAACCGTCTTCAAACACTTGTATATTAACAAACAAGAGCAGCATTGAAGTTCCAGTAGGAGTAAATTTAGCATTCTTGGTCTTCTCTGTAAGTCACAGCATGCCAATTTTCTTTGGAATGATACACCAATAACCTGCACATAGTAGAATGAAACTTGTGATATTTTGGTCCAACCTAACCCATTAACTAGCCACACAGAAGCACAAAGGGAAGCAAGCTAGTACATATATATGTACTATATACAATTGTACACTCTACTGTCTGATTCTTTTCACAGCCACTACTACATTATTATTGCTACCATACCTCTACCACTACTACAGTTATAATACATGCTCTTGTTCTACTAATCCCAGGCTTTCCCCCTATCATATATATACTGGCTCCCTTCCATTTGCACTTGTGTGACTAGTCAATGGTCCAAGTCGGACCGAAACTCCATCGTCAGTTTCATTCTCCTGTGTGCGGGTTATTTGTGTATTGTTCCAGTCATGGCATTGTGCATTTCATTCTTTCTCTAGGATGAATAGACTATACATGTATTGCTTTAAACACCCATCTCTCGCCCTTTCCCCAGGCCATGTTAAATTTTTTTAGTAGGCAAGTTCGTTTTGGGTACACAGCATATATTTCTAGATAAAATAGTTCCCTCCAAGGTATATTCCTTGATGCTGGTGAGGGACTCTTGATCCAAGGAATGTCTTAATTCTTCCCATCCTTGGATTGAACCAAATTGCCTCCTTTTGCCTAAAGTGATATATGACCCAAATGGTTTTAGAACTTCCTTAAATATAATAATAATAATAAATTAGCAACGACTATAATGTATTTGTCAGTTAAAAATAGGAGAGGAGAGTTATTAAATGGAGAGGTAGAGGTATTGGGAAGATGGAAGGAATATTTTGAGGAATTGTTAAATGTTGATGAAGATAGGGAAGCTGTGATTTCGTGTATAGGGCAAGGAGGAATAACATCTTGTAGGAGTGAGGAAGAGCCAGTTGTGAGTGTGGGGGAAGTTCGTGAGGCAGTAGGTAAAATGAAAGGGGGTAAGGCAGCCGGGATTGATGGGATAAAGATAGAAATGTTAAAAGCAGGTGGGGATATAGTTTTGGAGTGGTTGGTGCAATTATTTTAATAAATGTATGGAAGAGGGTAAGGTACCTAGGGATTGGCAGAGAGCATGCATAGTTCCTTTGTATAAAGGCAAAGGGGATAAAGAGAGTGCAAAAATTATAGGGGGATAAGTCTGTTGAGTGTACCTGGTAAAGTGTATGGTAGAGTTATAATTGAAAGAATTAAGAGTAAGACGGAGAATAGGATAGCAGATGAACAAGGAGGCTTTAGGAAAGGTAGGGGGTGTGTGGACCAGGTGTTTACAGTGAAACATATAAGTGAACAGTATTTAGATAAGGCTAAAGAGGTCTTTGTGGCATTTATGGATTTGGAAAAGGCGTATGACAGGGTGGATAGGGGGGCAATGTGGCAGATGTTGCAAGTGTATGGTGTAGGAGGTAGGTTACTGAAAGCAGTGAGAGTTTTTACGAGGATAGTGAGGCTCAAGTTAGAGTATGTAGGAAAGAGGGAAATTTTTTCCCAGTAAAAGTAGGCCTTAGACAAGGATGTGTGATGTCACCGTGGTTGTTTAATATATTTATAGATGGGGTTGTAAGAGAAGTAAATGCGAGGGTCTTGGCAAGAGGCGTGGAGTTAAAAGATAAAGAATCACACACAAAGTGGGAGTTGTCACAGCTGCTCTTTGCCGATGACACTGTGCTCTTGGGAGATTCTGAAGAGAAGTTGCAGAGATTGGTGGATGAATTTGGTAGGGTGTGCAAAAGAAGAAAATTAAAGGTGAATACAGGAAAGAGTAAGGTTATGAGGATAACAAAAAGATTAGGTGATGAAAGATTGAATATCAGATTGGAGGAGAGAGTATGGAGGAGGTGAACGTATTCAGATATTTGGGAGTGGACGAGTCAGCGGATGGGTCTATGAAAGATGAGGTGAATCATAGAATTGATGAGGGAAAAAGAGTGAGTGGTGCACTTAGGAGTCTGTGGAGACAAAGAACTTTGTCCTTGGAGGCAAAGAGGGGAATGTATGAGAGTATAGTTTTACCAACGCTCTTATATGGGTGTGAAGCGTGGGTGATGAATGTTGCAAACGAGGAGAAGGCTGGAGGCAGTGGAGATGTCATGTCGAGGGCAATGTGTGGTGTGAATATAATGCAGAGAATTCGTAGTTTGGAAGTTAGGAGGAGGTGCGGGATTACCAAAACTGTTGTCCAGAGGGCTGAGGAAGGGTTGTGAGGTGGTTCGGACATGTAGAGAGAATGGAGCGAAACAGAATGACTTCAAGAGTGTATCAGTCTGTAGTGGAAGGAAGGCGGGGTAGGGTCGGCCTAGGAAGGGTTGGGAGGGAGGGGGTAAAGGAGGTTTTGTGTGCGAGGGGCTTGGACTTCCAGCAGGCATGCGTGAGCGTGTTTGATAGGAGTGAATGGAGACAAATGGTTTTTAATACTTGACGGCTGTTTGGAGTGTGAGCAAAGTAACATTTATGAAGGGGATTCAGGGAAACCGGCAGGCCGGACTTGAGTCCTGGAGATGGGAAGTACAGTGCCGCACTCTGAAGGAGGGGTGTTAAAGTTGCAGTTTAAAAACTGTAGTGTAAAGCACCCTTCTGGGAAGACAGTGATGGAGTGAATGATGGTGAAAGTTTTCTTTTTCGGGCCACCCTGCCTTGGGGGAATCGGCCGGGTGATAAAAATAAAAATATAAGACATTAAAAACTTTATTACATTTAAAAAGAAATGAAAAAAAATTTTAAAATTTTCTTGGGTTTTTTTGTCACAAACCAAACCCGTTTTTTCCCGTACATTGAACTGTACAATTTAAAGGTTTAAGGTGCAAAATAGATTTCACAAGTGCAGTGTGAAAAGGGTTCAAAAACTTCTCTATATTTTCTCTCTTCAGATATAAATTCTTGCTATCACATTAACCCGAGCACCGGTTCTGATGGGTAACCCACCCCTCCCACAAATGTAATTTACAAAGGAGAGCACAATGACATTTACACGTACAAAACAAGAGTGCAAAATAGAAACACTTATCTTCACAATCCAAAAACAAAAAAATCCCTAATGTGGCTATTACTTAATATTTGATTAAGAGAATCGATCAGAAACCACCTTAGTCAACCATCAAAAAATACAAGTCAGCTATGACATCCTTGCCTAACTTTAACAAAGAATGGGGAAAAAAATATATATATAATTTATAAAAAACCCCCATCCTTTTATGACAACTAAAAATATATATTTATTTTTTTTGTTTTTTAAAATAAGCTAAGGACTGTGGTTTTATAAAAGAAAAAAATCACAAAATGTAGTATGAGCGGTAATACTAGCTAACCCTTACCAAAAGGGAGACCTTTAACTAAAAAAAAAAAAAAAAAAATTGACTGAAAATTACTTGTTAAGGCCCTAAAATTTTGTGGTGGGGCCTTGTTTCCCATTTATGATAGAACCGCATAAAAATTTTGCAAAAAAATTTTCCTTCGTTTGGCTAAAGTTGAGGTGCTCTGTTAACTGAAAAATGTTTATCTGAAAAATGACTGGCATTATATAAAGATCTAGGGGGCGGGCCCCGGCAAAAATAAAAGGAATATAGGTTTAGGGATACAATGAAAAAAAAATTAGTTTTTCCAGAGTAGGTTAAAGATCAGAGTTGGAAAAATAGGAATTTCATGATTGGAGAATATTTTAAAAAGACAAATGTGAACATAGTATGGTTTATAGTATAGTCATCCAAAAGTGATGGACAATAAAAAAACAGCTAAGTTTTCAAGAATGATAAAGGAAAAGGAATTATAAAAAAAAAAAAAGTTCATTTGTAAAGAGATTTCGTGGCGGGAAATTCAAAATGTAAATTTTTTGTATATTTTTTTAAAGGGAAAAATCTAAATTTGAGATTTCAAACATACTTCACCATGCAGTCCTTACAATAATTAATTTTTGCAAAGTACAAAAAGCAAATACCCTTGATCAAGCCCAATTCACGCTGCATAATTTTTTTTTATTTTCACAAAATTAAAATTTTCCAGCGGAAAGCCTCCGAGAGGAACTTAAAACAACCATTTAAACTCACCACACACACCTGCCCCACTCACCCATGAAAAGCTAAGAAAATGTCACAGATAACCATTTTTTTCAAAGATTTTTTAAGCCGTGCTGTATGCCCTTTTGGGTTTTTGTGCCTATTATGATTATAAATTAATCCATGGGCATTTTTTGTTTCAAACTTGAAAACGAATTAAAAAATTTTGAGGTGTTTTCTTAAAGACAAAATGATTTACTGTTAAAAAAAGATTTAAAAAAAAAGGGATTAATAGGGTTTTTTAAAACCCCTATTTCCCCAAAAATCAAAAAAAAACATGGGAGCGAGCAAAAGGGCCCTGAAGTTTTACACAAAAAATTCAAAAAAAATATGAAATAAAAATGTGCTCCTTTCCATAAAGCAGCAAGGGAAAGAAATTTTGCCCTTTTTAAACAAACAGACAACCCCAAACCAAACAAACCTGCTCTTTTGTGTACATTTGGCCACTTTCATCTTATATTAAACTCCCATTTTCCAGCCTCCTTAGGAAATTCAAAAACTGCCTCTGCAAATGAAAACTTTTTAACATTTTAACAAGAATAAATTTTTTTCCAATTTGGAGCAAAAGGAAGCCCCAACCTCACGGCCCCGAACAAAACTGCCTTTTGTTCCTACTACAACCTTTTGTGACGACACACTTTAAAAATCCAATCTCCACTTTTTTTACCTTAAAAATTAAGGCTTTTTATATTTGAACAAACCATAATTTTATTAACTTCCCCCCAAATCTAAAGTTTTTTAAACCCCTTTGATTGGTTGCTTTCATGAGGATAGTGCCACAAGACCATTAGCCACAAAGATAAGGACCGTTTTTTACAAAAGTTTTTAAAAACAGGGTTTTTATTCCCAACAACTCCACTTGTGATGTTGAAAGGACTTCCCAGCAGCCCCTCAATGCTAACCAAGTAAACATAACAGCAGCAACTACCAAACCCAAAATGGGGGATAGAGGCATAAAACATACCCAAAATTTTTTGTCTACCTCACGTTGCTTAATTTCGTTATTGTATTTATAGAAATCAGAAACATTTCAAATTAAAATCATATATTCAAAAAGGAGAGTGAAAACAAAAAAAATTTTTTTCCTCTTTTTGCAATTTAAAGAAATAATTTTTTGATATGTCAAAAATTGCAACCAAGAATTACAAAACATGCGGATTGGTTTTCCTAGGTTGCCATTTAGTTTTCACTGTTATCTAAAAAGCTTTTAAAATTTTAATATCAAACTTCAACATTTTTCATTTTGTTTGGATCATTAAATTGTATGCTTACCCAAAAAACCTAATTAAAAATAAAATTTTTGGCAATGATGCCTCAAAAATTTGCCCCCTGTTTTTTTACCAGCATTTTAAATTGTATTTAAAATTTTTGAACTTCAACTTATAAAATATTCTTTCAAAATTTATTTGTTGTATTAATGACAAAAAAGCTTTGACTGATCAAAAAAATTAAATTTCCCACTCATCATTTCAAGAATTTGACAATATTTATGAATAAAAAAAAAAAATTTCATAAAATTTTCAAGCACAAGTAAAAATTTGTTTTAATTGCAAAAAAAATAACCTCCCCCCGTACTTTTTTTTTTTTTTTTAAGGTACCTTATTAGCCCTAAATAATTTAATCCAATTTTATATTATCGAATGAAACAATTAAAAATAATTCTTTTACACCTTTAACTTAAGTTTGTATGTAAAAAACAAAAATGTATTGAAAAATATTTTGAAATCCAAAACAATACGGGTTTTGTCCCCCTAACGTAAAAACTGAATGATTATACAATATTAGTTTCTAAAGAGGTTTTTCCCAACTAAAATTTTAAATACTCAAGAAATTTCGGGTGAAGAAAAATTAGTTCATTGTTTCTTCCAATACAGAATAAAAAAGATCTCAAAACTAAACCTTAAAAATTTCCAATTTTTCATTGTGTATAAGAGTGACAACCAATTTTTTAAACTTGTGGACAGTTATTAATAAAAAAATTTTTTTGCAACCTTAGATCAAAAAGTGAAAAACAGCCCCGTACTGTAAAAACGCACCACAGGTGGTATACTTGCTGGGGAAATTGAAAGTTAGAGGGAACTTGAAAGTATTCATTTGTCAAATTGGCCTTCATAATTACAACCAAATTTTTGAGCATATTGTCTTCCCCCACCAAGTAAACTTTAAATTTTTCTTTAAGATCTCAATTTTTTTTAGTCATTCCCTTTTTGGCTTTGGGTTTTTTCTTTAGCCAAGCCTTTGCAAAATTCTTATAATAAGAAGTAATTAAGCAAATTTCCCTTTTCACAAAATCCCCATGCCCCAACAGTAAGTTGCCGAGCTCTATGTTTTTTTGTCATCACTAAGTCGACAACAACTTTGACATTCAAAAAATTTTATTTTAAATCATTGGTAAATTAGACACACTTGTTTCTTCGTTATTAGAAAAAAGCGAATTAATTTATTACTAATACAGTATTTTTTATTTTTATGCAGCTAAATTTGTAAATGATTAAAGGATGACATGCCGATGTAAACCCAAAGCATAAAATAGTCTTCTAAAACACTTCTGACTCTTTAAGTGAAACAAATACAAAAGTTGAAAAGGAGCCCAAATTTTAAAAGTTGAGCGGGGGATGGAATATTTCATCTTTTAAGGCAAAGGGGAAATTTCGAGAAGTTAACGGTTTCATATTTTGTTTTAGGGGCTTGGCCAGCAGCAAGCAAATCAACTCCAATCCTGAAAAATAATGGAAATTTAATTAGATTATTTCTTTAAATTAAAAGATGAAATTTCGAAGCACAGTAATACAGTTGCTAAAACACTTTTTTATAAACAAACAGGGGTTGTATATAATAATAGTAATACGTGTAGGAAAAAGCCCCTTTTGGCTTAGTGCTTCTTTTTTTATTATAATAATGTGTATGGAATAGGTGGTGGGTTAGAAAACAGTTTTTTTCGAGGAAAGTTAGGCTCAGGTTGAGTATGTAGGGGGAGATTATTTTTCCCAGGGAAAAATAGGCCCTTTGACAAGGATGTGTTATGTCACCTTTTTCAATATATTATAATGGGGGTTAAATACCGGGGTTGGCAAAAAGCGAGATTAAAAAAAATAAGAATTTAACCCAAAGTAAGAGTTGTCACAGATGCTTTTTGCTGATGACATTGTGCTTTTGGGAGATTCTGAAAAGAGGTTGGTGGACGAATTTGAGAGGGTATCTACAAGGAAATTATAAATGAACATAGAATTCTAACAATGTGATGAGGGGAAAAATTAGGTATCAGATTGGAGGGAAAGAGTACAGAGGCAGTGAATGTGTTCATACATTTGGGAGTGACTTGTCAGGAGAACTGATGAGGGAAAAAATGTGAGTGGTGAACTGAGGAGTTTATGGAGACAAAGAATGTTATCAATGGAAGCAGAGAGGGGAACATATGAGTGTAGTTAAGTGTGTGAAGCATGGGGAAGGGGGTGAATGTTGCAACATTCAGTGGAGATGATGTGTCTGAGGGTAATGTGTGGTGTGCATATTATGAAGAGAATACGTAGGTTGGAGATTAGGAGGAGGTACAGGGTTTCTAAAAGTATTATCCAGAGGGCTGAGGAGGGGTTGTTGAGGTGGTTTAGACATTTAGAGAGGGTATAACAAATTAGACCTAGGTAGTAGGTTGGTAGACAGGAACTGCCCAGGGAGGTACTACCATCCTGCCAAGTGAGTGTAAAACAGAAGCCTGTAATTGTTTTACATGACAAGATTTCAGGTATGTCTTGCTACTTCTGCTTACACTTAGGTCACACTACACATGCATATATATATATACATACCCCTCTGGGTTTTCTTCTATTTTCTTTCTAGTTCTTGTCTATTTCCTCTTATCTCCATGGGGAAGTGGAACAGAATTCTTCCTCTGTAAGAGGCGACTAAAATGCCGGGAGCAAGGGGCTAGTAACCCCTTCTGTATATATTACTAAATGTGAAAGGAGAAACTTTTGTTTTTCCTTTTGGGCCACCCCGACTCTGTGGGATACGGCCGGTGTGTTGAAAGAATGAATTGAAGGGCATATAAATCTGTAGTGGAAGGAAGGCAGGATAGGGGTGTAAAGGAGACTGTGTGTGCAAGGGACTTAAACTTCCAGCAAGCATGCATGAGTATGTTAGACAGGAGCAAGTGGAGGCAAATGGCTTTTATGATGTGATGTTGAAGTGTGAGCTAAGTAACATTAAGAAGAGAAACCGGTTAGCCAGACTTGACGAGTCCAGGAGATGGGAAGTACAGTGCCTGCACTCTGAAGGAGGGATGGAGATACGTTGCAGTTTTTGAACTGTAGTGTTGGTACAGTGATGGAGTGAATGATAATGAGCATTTCTTCTTTTTCAAGTTGCCCTGCCTCGGTGGGATACAGCCAATGTGTTAACAAAGAAAATAATGTAACTGAATCTTTGAGGCCTACCTGGACAAAGCCAATGCCTATGGCCACCCCTCCCAAGATGGTGACATTTTCTTTAGCATCTCCCTTAAGCTTGTCGAAGCAGCCTTCCTTGTTGATGTAATCAAGCTGCAAAAATAAAAAATTTGTATAGTCTCATATTAACAATTTTAAACAAGTCTTATTATACAACACAATTTTACTCAGGTGTGTTGCAATTACCTTTATGTTGACATAACTGTCAGATATGTTTTAAGCTTTAATAATCCAAAAAAAATTTTTTCTTTATTACTATATGGGTAAGGAATTACATTTTTATGAGTTAAATAAAACTTTTAAAGAT